TTACCCCAGCAGGGTCCTTTTCAGTTACTTCTTTTTGGGTCATGACAGAGTTTGTTCCATGACCATGCTCTTAACTTATTATACTTATGGTGCTTAGCTTGTCTCCTTTCAATGCCAGGGTAGTTCACCGCTTGCCCTGGGTCCATCCTGGGTCCATCCAGTCCCTTCGTCGGATCCTCCTTTTGGGACTCTTAGGAAGTAAGGCAACTGAGGTTTAAATATGAATCCATCAGGTAAATATGATGGATTCTCAGAAGCAAATATTATTTGGAGTCAATTAACTCCCATACTACAAAAGCATAGCATCAACTGTCTTCCTGTGTCTATACAAAAGGGACATTTCTAAATAAGCCATGCAAATGACATGAAGGAAAGAGAAAAGCAATATAGGATTATTAGTGCTTGATAGAATTAGGTGTGTCTCAGGAGCACTGTTGTTGGAGTAACTCAACAAACTGAAGCTCACTGTTGGAGGAACAAGGACAACCCGATGTTATCCAACAGGCATGCCCTCTACCTGCTGTATTAGTTCAAGTATTAGCTTTTAGATCAAGTATAAATTTATGTTTATTGACACATGGTTGCAGAATTTGAACACAGTTTTTATCTTCTAGGCATGCATCAAACCAGAGTGAAACCTGATTTGGGAGCACACAAGATTAAAGTCAGAGGAAGAAATTCTGAAGAGTGACTTAGGTCAGTTCCACTCTTCACTGTTTAAAGCATAGATTTTTCACATTTCTATTTTCACCATTGTCTTTGAGTGGTGTAAACAAAGCTACTGGGCTTTAGAAAACAAACCAAAACAAAGTACTGTAACAGTCTCCCAAGCATTTTTTTCCTTTTAGTTTCTTTAGTGGTTTTCTAAGGGTATTTTACAGCTTCTTTCTCCACACACACAAAAAAAGGTGAGAAAACCTAGAAAGCAGACTCTAAAGCTCTACCTTACTTTCCACTTAGCAGACAATGAATGCATGTCAATACAATGAGTGTCTTTTCATAAACAGAAAAGGTAGTGAAAAGCCTTGCTCCTTTACCTCAGAAATGACAAAACAAGTGTTTACCTCTGTTTTGAAACTTCTCAGATTCAAGTCAGACATCTAGTTCTAGTGTTTTCATGAGCTGCTGACTTTGATAAGCCTTTTCTTTTCACTGAGTTTTTGTTTTTTTTTCCTCTTAGTTTTTGCTGTCACAGTTGGCAATGCTCAGGGTACCAGATGTGGTTCAAAAGTCAAACTAGGGATGGCTACATGAAAGGCAGCCACTTAACTCCAGAACTCTGTGGCTCATTTTTTTTCTCTTTAAACTGTGGCAAAAGTGATAAGCATTTCACAGACTTATGACGAACTTAAAGATTATAGATATAATTAGTGTATATAGCTCACTAAAAGAAACACTAATAAAGACCAAGTTAATCAGGCAAACAGCAGTTATTTGCTCACTTTCCTATATCCTATAGCTTTCTAAATTTAACATAAGAGAAAAACATTCTGGAAATAGAGAATAGCATATAGAAGTCTCCTCTTCTTTATCCACAAATTTTATGAAAATATAAAACTATTTTAAACCTAAAAGTATGTTAAAATAAAAGATGTGAAAATTACATATATCTATTAAACAAAAATTTTATTTTTCATGTGGTGTGTAAAAATTATTTTGTACTACATGTTTAGCCTGAGCTGAGATTTAAGTAATACCTAACTCAGCACTGCATATAATACCTTACAACCAGGTAGGTTCTTAAGTCAGGTATAGCCAAGAGGAAAGCAGATTTGTCTGATGGAGTAGAGTAAAAGGCATTGCCAGAATTTACTACATATTCATAATCCCATCTCTGAAATATTTCTCATCAAAGGTGCTTTGAAACAAAGAAACACTTGAAAAGATTAGAAAATAATTATAAAACATTATGTCTGGAATAGCATTTTGTTATTGACCACATTAATGATCATAATGTAAAATTATAAATATCCTGACAAATGAGCAAAAAGACATAGTCTCAAATTAGGTCAGGTCAAATTTTTGTACCCAATACTATTTCAGTTTTTATAGCTTTTGGCTTATACAACTTAAATATTAAATTATAAATATGTATATATAAAAACAATCTCTAAATTGTCATCAGCTAACATTTTCTTTTTTCTTCCTCCACAAACTTATACACAGGGATATTCTTCACCTCAGAAACAGCAAAGAAACATATCCTATTTATTATTTTATAAAGAAAAAAGTAAAACACAAAAGCAAAAGTTATTATATCTTTGTGCCATTCTAACTATTCTTTTTGTCTACTTGGGATTAATTATATATCTCTCTTCCTTGCTTCTAACTTCTAATCATGTCATAGACTTAGTCAAGCTTTTCTTGAAATAATGAGGAAGAAAAACAAACAAAAAAGACAGGCCACCTTATTTTCCAGAAATTAGACTTTCATTGGAGACCATTTTATTAATGCAATCATTAAAACTAACACTTTTTATTCACATATTTTCTTTCTAAACATGTTTAACCCCAGGTTAAATTGGTGAGCCAAATGAAAATATCAATTTGAATAATTCAAAATGTTTGATTTCTGCCTTCTTCATCGATAAAATTAATTTAGAGATGGCATTATTGAAAACAGGCATTCTTTCTAAACTAAGAATTCCAGATGTTTTTAGTTGCTGCCTATGACATTTCCACAATCAGAATAAATTGTGTTTTCGGAGTAATGTAATAGATAGAAGTGCTGAATAAATCTCATGCAGTTGAGATGACAAAATTAACATGCTGATGACATTTTAATGTTTCAATATAATCAAGGGGGCATGGATCATGCCTCCACCAGTTCTAATATAATTCTACTCTTTAATCTTTTTCCAAGATAAAATAAAAAATTGATAGATTTCAGAAAATATATAAGCAGAGTGTGCCTCAGTCATCAGGCAAGCTCTTTAGGATGCATTTTCGGTTCAGTTTTGCCGGTTGATACTTTACCAACGAACTTGAGTTACATATAAAAATCCTAGACCAAGGGCAGCTATTTGTTGTTATTGTTGTTGTTCTTTATCGGAAGATTGATATTGATGATTCCACATCATCTACCTTTTTATATTTAGGGTTGAATGTATAGAATGAACTATTTCAATTCTTAATCTCGTAAAATGTGTGTATATATGTATATATATACTTAGACTCAACGTAATATATGTATATATATATATATACATATATATACACAATATATTTTGTAGCACTGTAGCACTGTCCTCTTGTTGTTCATCAATTTGCTCGAGCAGGTCCAGTAACATCTCCATTGTGAGACTTGTTGTTACTGTGTTTGGCATACCAAATACGTCATGGGTAGCTTGCCAGGATTTGCCATGCAAAGGCAAGATACTTTCGGTAGCTTGCCAGGCTCTCCGAGAGGGGCAGAGGAATCAAACCCGGGTCGGCTGTGTCGGCCGGGTCGGCCGTGTGCAAGGCAAATACCCTACTGCTTATCAATATATAGTAATGATAAAAGTATTAAAAACATGGTTTTTGTCCTTAACATTATGTCTCAAATATATTAATGACAAACATATCTTTGAATAAACAGTGAGCTGACTATTCCTGTAAGATTAAAATGTGCGAAATGTTGACTAAATTGCATGTTTCGTGAGAGGAAGACAAAGTAAGAGAATAGAGGTACCACTTTCTTCTTCCTCAAGTGGATGGGCTACAGAAAGAATCAAAGAGGGACCACAGAGATATCAATGTATAAGGCACTTGCCTTACATGTGACCAAGTGGAATTCAATTCCAGGTATATATGGTCTCCTGAGCTGCCCTAGAAATGATCCTTGAGCACAGAGCCAGTACTAATCCCTGAGGACAATGAAGTATTACCCCAAAACAAACAAATGAAAAAAACAAAATAAGAATCAAAGGCCATGGCAGCATTGCTAGGAGTCAGGTATAGATAGAAGTAAATGACATAAAATAAGTGATGATAGGCACTTATCCTTTGCCTATATTTGAACACACTATAGAACAATGATAGGATGAAATTTATTTGCTAAATTCTAGTTTCAAATCTGTTGCTACAGATTTACCAAAACATGGAGTAGTCATATTTTTCCAAGAATAATTTTAGGATGTACTTTATATAAAAGGTAAAGGTAAAGGCCCTCCCGTTGATCGTCGATTTGCTCGAGCGGGCCCAGTAACGTCTCCATTGGAGACTTTGTTGTTACTGTGTTATGGTTATATATATGTAGATAATTTTAGCGCATACTTAATATATAAATATGCACATATATAATCTCTGTTGAAAATAAATATTTTTCTAAAACATAAATTTGAATGTACTCATCTAAAAAAACCTTGCAAATACCTCTCCCCACCCTCTCAACTTGAATATAGCAGGAAAGAACAGTCATGCCATTCCTCGGATTTACCTCACAGTTTTTCATCTTTCTCTATATGAGAGTAGATAATCTGAGCTTCAGCTACAATACACTCTATTCAGAGTGAGTTTATTTTTTAAATTTTAAATTTTTATTTTTTAGAGCATTAAAAAGCTGTTCATGATTGTATTTCAGTCATAGAGTATTCCAACATCAATGAATATTTCCTAGCACATGTATACCCTGGTTCCCTCCCATCACCCCGCGCACCCCCACCCTATTTCCTTCTTTAGCAGGTGCTTTTCTTCTCTCTCTCTCCCTTAGTCTCTCCATTTTTTTCTCTCTCCTTTTCTCTCTCTCTGTGACTTTAAAAATGAGAGAATTGCTCATTCTTGCCTTAGAGTAAATATGAGAAGCTTAAATAGAATGACTTGAAAATATCATCAATAGGCTTAATTCTGCTTTCTCTTTTCTCCATTATCACATATTTGTTTCTATAAAGATCTTAAAAAAGAAAAAACAAAAAGTCACCAAAAATAACTGAGTAAATGGGAAAAAGAAAAACCAAAAAGTCACCAAAAATAACTGAGTAAATGAGTAAAAAAAATGTTTTATTGCAAAGTTTCACATTTAGAAGAACTTCCAAACTTACAAATATGATTGGATCTTTAGAACACATAATTTTTAAAATATACAAATCATATACAGACATTAGTAATCAGTCTCCAAAGTATTCAATAAAGATATCTGGGTGACACTTATAGAACTGCCTCAGCATTTTTTTCTTCTCTTTGGCAGACAGTTTTGAATCCTCATCAATAGTTTTTAGTAAATTCAACAGTTCATCTTTGGTTGTCTTCTGTGTATGGTCAGAATAGTCACCTTGATCAATTCTCTGGCAATAAATATATCCTGTGTCTCTATTTGGCTCTTTTCCCCTCTGAATGGCCATCAGCTTAACACTGACAATTTTATGTAGAGTCCCAGGAATCTTAAAGACATCCTTTTGATGATCCATTAAAAAGAGTAACAGCAGATCAGTTTTGCCTTTGGATAAATTTTTATTGTCCACAATCGCTTTTGAGAATATTCTTTTCACAGCCATTCGGTTGTCACTTTCTTTCTGCAGTTTAAATTCTGAAGGATGTGCTGCAACAGCCATGAAATATAGTAGTCTTCTAAATTCTTCTCTATTTTGGGAATCCAAAAGCTTCAGAAAGAGCTGAGTAGCTTCTAATGCTATTTCAGTCTTCCCATTCACTAAGAGTTCTGCAATTCCATTATGCACATCAGATAAGTGATTTAACAGAGGTTCTCTGCTGCTGTAATATTTGCCAATGGCATCAAACAGAAGTTCTTTCACTAGGTCTATTCTATCTGGTTGCTCAGGAAAATTTCTGCTTATGTCCACCACCACCTGGTCTGGAAGGTATTCCAAGCAGTCAATTGCTGCAGAGAGCCACTCATCTTCCTGAGAGTCACCGTAAGCCTTGAGAATCCCTCGATCCAAATAATTACTGTTGACCAAGTCAGGCTGCCTCTTAGGTAGAGGAATTTTGGGTACAAGCACTTGCTGTTTGAGTAAGGAGTCAAGAAGTGGAAGATCTATAAGTTGAAGTAAACGCCCAATTGTTTCTTCTTGCCATACTTCATTATAACTTGTGGAGACAAGGTTGCGGAGATATTTATGCGAGGAGAGTTAGCTGGCTTTAAACTCAGATTTTCCCACAGGTCCTCTAAACTTGCCGATTTGATATCAGATGACTCACATAATGTATCTGCATACCAAGAAGGTGAATACAACTTGTTTTCTTTGCCTAATTGGCTGTCTTGGTGGGGTATCGTCGTGAATCTATAAAGGCTGCAACTACTATCTTCAAAGGTGGGTTTCTTATCTTTTCTGAAGACTGGTTGGAACTGCTTCAAATACTTTTGTGTGTGTATGATTGTCTGTGTGTAGTGTGTGTGTGTATGTGTGTGTGTGTGTGTGTGTGTGTAAGGGGGGGAGAGTGAAGAGAGCAAAAAGAGAATAAAAAAAGTTAACAGAAGAAAATATAGATGGAAAGATGGAGCCAGTCTCTAAGTGAAAAATATGTCTTACTATTTCCATTGTCTAATATTAAAACAATTACCTTCTGTGGGGGAAGACCAAAAATTAGTCTTCTGAAGAAAAAAAGAAAGAAAATTTTGGAGAGCTTCTCTGAGTCTGCCTTTGCTTTTTCCTTTACCTAAAGGTAGACTCCCCCACAATCCTTGTGATGATAGAGTAATACATGCTCAACTAACACCAAAAGTATTCAAAGAGGGTTAATATTGAACTGAAACAGCACCTCTGACAGGAGATAAGAGATTAGCCTGTCTATTTTGTTTCTACCTTAGTGAGGGAGTTTCATGAGAGCATGCCAAGCATTATTAAAAAGACTGTGTTTTAATGTCATATCTAAACGTTGCAAAATGCAATGTACAATTGTGTCTAATTCACCCTCTCATCCTTAGATATCCTGAAAGAAAGAGTGTACTTACACTTTGACCCTCACACTAAAGAACTAGTACATCTACAGAATTCTGAGTTGTTTTTTATTAAAACCCACCATTTACCCCAGGTATCTATAAAACACACTCCAAGCTGTCAGCTGTTATAGCAAGTTCGTAGCTTTAAATACCTCATATACCTTAAGGACCTGATGTCCTTGGTAGAGCTTTGGTTGACGGATTTCTCCCTCCTAATTGTGCTTATTAAATTTGAAAAATAACTCCATTGCTTAGAAAGTTTCAGAAAATAGAATTGTTACAAGATTTGTTAAAGATACAGATTAAAAATATTAGAAATAAATATAATAGTAAACAATATTTTCAACTTAACACACTGACAGAAAAGCAACATATACTTTCAATGAAAAGTTGAAGGAGGAATTTTTTTCTTCTTATAAGATCCTCAAATAACCTAACAATAACACGGGTGCAGCACATAATATTTTACTTTAAAAAACAGAAAAAAATATGTAATTTATGGCTCTTTGATATTGTTTGCAATAATGGAATACTGTTCTTTCTTTCATTAAAAAGTAAATTACTAAAAGCGATAAATTACTATGAATTTCTGCAATGAGAGTCAAATAGTTTGATTTGTGAAAAGGATGGGAATAACTCAGGATCACTTCATTTCCTCAGGTACCTTTAAATATAGCACAAAAATTCCCAAGAATCTAATTGTAGAAAACTGAACTTTCTCAAGCTTTTTGTTCCTTCAAATAAATCTTGCATATGTGTCTTTTCTATTAGAAAACATAAATTTTGGGATTCAACTCAATTATAAATAAACTAATTTTAATGCAAGACTATGAACATAAGACAAAGGGGATGCATATCCCTTTTAATAAAATGTAATGTTGTCATCCAAATGTAATTCGAAATTTCCCACTGGCTCTATTACCATAACTTTTACAATAATATTTTAGAAATATCCTGGTAGTAGAGTGAGAAAATAGTTATATAAGACTTAATTCTTAATTTATACCACTTGTTTTGGCCTGAATTGTCTATGTGTTAATCCAGTTGATAAAAGATTTCAAGGTTATTACTCTAAACTCATGTAATATTTACTACCAGCAATATTTTGAGTATTAGAAGAAGTATTAGATTTGATGTTTCTTTAGTTTTATACTGGCTACAACATTTTGGCCAACTTACTAAAAAAATTAACTAATACTTCCTCATAAACAGAATCATTGACTCAGGAATATTTTTTTATATGGACGAACAAAATAAACACAAACATAACAGTTGGGACCATGGGATAAAAGCATATGTAAGAAGTTTTGAATTCAGTCATAAAAATTGTAATATTTTGCAAAAGACTCACATGGTAGCCAGATATAAGCTGGCATTCATTTATCATTACTTCATGATATCCTTCTCTATGTGTGTTTATCTTTCAATAGTAATCAGGTATATTCCAGTAAATGGCAGTGAAATTTCTGAGAGTAGGCTCTAAGACATAGTTTTTTACTCTAAACTCTTTTGAATCATTAACTCTTGACAAACCAGATGTCATGATGGGAGGATATTCAAACCATTTCCATGATATATTGACAAGGTCAGCAGCAAATTACCAACTATATAATGAGCTATCTTGGAGCAAATCGACAAGCTTTATATAAGTCATCGATAACTATAGTCTCAACACTACCTACTGTAATTTCTCATCTCCTTCATTCATATTATTCCTCCAGCCCCTAATTCTCTTCTTTTTGTTCAATTTCAGAAATCAAACGTAATTCAGAGGAATGAAAGCCCCAAAGCCATCAGTATAGGGAAAATCCCTATGAAAAGAATAATCACTTATCACTTAATCACTTAATCCTCGTTATTCATCGATTTATTCGAGCGGGTGCCAGTAATGTCTCCATTCATCCCGGTTGCGTGCTAGCGTAGCCCAATGGTATCTGTTCGTTTTAGGAACATGTAGAGCCTCAAACCGATCATTTAGGGTCTTGACGAAGAAGTCTGACCATCTTATAGGTGGGCGTCCACGTGATCTTTTGATGTCTCGTGGAATCCAATCAGTAATGGCTCTAGTCCAGCGGTTGTCTGTAAACCTCATTACATGTCCAGCCCATCTGATTTTTGATGTCTTGGCAAATGAGACAGCGTCTCTGATTCTTGAGCGTTGACGAAGATCAGAACTCCGGATTCTATCTCTCATTTGAGTGAATCGTGATATTTCAAGCATAGTTCTTTCGATTCCTCTTTGAGAGACCCGAATAGTGTTCTCATCCTGTTTTCGTAGGGTCCAGGTCTCTGAGGCATATGTTAATGCAGGAAGAATAGTGGAATCAAAGAGATGTGCTCGTAGTTGGAGGTTCTTTGTCCTTTTAGTTATTTCTTCAATGCTCTTGAAGGCATTCCAAGCCGCTCTCTTCCTCCTGCGTAACTCAGGTGCCAGGTCATTCATCATGTTGATTTCTCGACCTAAGTATATATAACTGTTGCATTCGGAGATGGTGGTTCCGTTGAGAGCGAATGGAGCGTCAGGAACAAGGCTGTTTCTCATAAACATTGTCTTCATAAGATTCAGCTGTAGTCCAACCTTTCCACACTCACGGTCAAAGTCCGCAAGCATTTGTGCCACTTGGCTGATGTTTGGTGTTATTAGAACGATGTCATCAGCAAAGCGGAGGTTTATAATAATAATAATAATTCTATTATGAAAAGAATAATAGAAAATGAAAATGTTGTACCAAGTAGTAAATACATGATGACAAATATAAAATTAGAGTTATGAGTGCTCCCTTCTGAAAGAAATCATCCTAAAGGACAATAGCTTATTGCAATTTGGTTCTACTGAAATTCAAGATTTGGAGATATATGAGTGGTTCAGAAATGGTGAGGGTAGGATCTGGAGGGGATAGGATAAGGTAGAGGTAGAGACTTGAACAACAAAAAAAGTGGATAATCTTGACTAAGGTCTGCAGTAAAAGTCTTTCTTCTTGACTGTACTCGAAGTACATGTTGCTTGTCTACTTCCTGTTTTCTGTTCCTCCAAGTCAGATGTGGGAACAATAAATTTTCTGGACCTAAATGCTTGGTTTTATTTCTGACCATCCTTCCTAGCTGTGGATTACTGATAAATGCAACTCTTTGCATCTTGTATCTGGATTCAGAGTCCCTATATTCAACTGCAGAAAAAGTAGGAGTACTTTGTAAATTATCGATAGAAAGCAGAATGGAATAGTGTGAATTCTATTTATAAATAGAAACGTTATGGGGTCCTCATTTTATGCCTCCTTCTGGGAGAAGCAGCCTTGAGTTCTGGAGGGTGGATTGTGAGATTATCTGGAGCTGGTAGGAGGTGGTTTATGGGTGTGAACTCTGGGTCACTGGAGACTGGGGGAAGTAGGCAAAGGATCTCTGCTTCAGTCTCCTGTTGAGCCCAGAGTTCAAGGTCACAAAGTTCTGCATTACCTGGATTCCGTGGGACATCACTCAGGCCTCTCAGAGAGTTCAGCAAGATACTGAGAGTGTTCCACCCACACGGCAGAACCTGACAAGCTACCCGTGGCATATTAAATATGCCAAAAACAGTAACAATAATGGGTCTCATTTCTCTGACTCTGAAGAGACTCCAATATGGTCGTTAGGAAAGATGAGTAAGGAGAGACTGCTAAAATCTCAGGGCTGGGACAAATGGAGACATTACTGGCGCCCACTCAAGTAAATCCATGAAGAACAGGATGACAGTGATATAAAAATAGAAATGTTACACCTGTAAATTACAAGATTATCTAAATACATTAATGTGTTTTAGTTTGCAATATCTATAGTCCATAGTCTACATGAGTAATTAGTAATTAATTTTTTGAATAATTTCTAGGAATTTCAATTCTTTAGATTTCTATTTAATATTATGATGAAACTAAACTTACTTATTCACCCTTTAAACTTAGAACTAAAGATGAAGGTGATTTTGATAAATTTACTAAACTTAATTAGAAAGTCAAAACCATAAAATTTTCAATACATAAAATGTTTTTTTTAAACATTCTAACCAAGATTTTAGAAAAAAATTATTGTGCTTATCTTTGTTTTGTGGACTGGAATGATAGCATAGCGGGTAGGTCATTTGCCTTGCACATGGCTGACCAGAGCTCGATTCCTCTGCCCCCTCTCAGAGAGCCCAGCAAGCTACTGAGAGTATCCCACTGGCACGGCAAAGCCTGGCAAGCTACCTGTGACATATTCAATATGCCAGTAACAACAAGTCTCACAATTTGTTGTGAAACATTACTGGTGCCCACTCAAGCAAATCGATGAAAAATGGGAGGACATGACATGACATGACATCTTTGTTTTGCAATTAAAAATTACATTATACTGAGGCACTGTCTGAGGCACTGTCCTCCCGTTGTTCATTGATTTTCTCGAGCGGG